GATTTATTTTTTGCAATAAAATATTTACATGGGGCCCATCCCATGTAAGAACCTGTAAACCTTCTGGTAATATTTTCTTCTCTACACTAAGCTTTTTTTTAAATCATTAGTCCAAAAACATAATCTAGGAAAGGGGATATGCATTTTTCTTAATTTAAAAAAAAAAAAAAAGAAATTCTCCACAAAATAATACTCACATCAATATATTAATTTTATTATTTATGATTGGAATTTCACTCTATATATATATATGATATGGGCCAAAGGGGTGATTGATAAACTTGATATCAGAAAGGGGTATGGATTTCCGAGACTATAGTTTCCATTGTTTCTTCATCACATTCTACTTCTTGTGCAGCCATATCCTCTCTGTCTCTGCAGTAAATGTGCCCAGTAGCAATGTATCCACTCCATTCAATATTAGTAGTTTTCCCTCTGGTTTTGTGTTTGGTGCATCCTCATCTGCCTATCAGGTGACCACAAAATAATCTGTTTCTTCAGTATCTCACATACACACACAACTGCATGTTTGTATAGATTTACACGCATGATGTAGAACACATGGTTGAATGGATTGATGACCAGTTCACAGTTGAACTGAAAAGGAAAAAAGGGTAAAAATAATAAATTGTAGATTTGGTGTTCGAGCTTTGATTTGGAGCCATAATGCCTTTTCGGAAAGATAATAACGAGCTGGACTGAACAAATCGCTTTGCTGTGACATATAATTGATTTTAGCCATTCGAGTTTGTTTAGGATTTGAAAACTAATTTAAAAATTTTAGTGCTGTCTTTTTCATTTAGTTTATTTCGTATTCTTTTCAACTATAATTCTTTTAAATTAGATTTTCATGTAAACCCTTATAAATAAAGGGTTATTCCTTTGTTTTTTCCATCATCTTGCAATTAATAATATTCGTGATTTTATCTTTTATAATTTGGTGAATTTCAAAAATTGTATTCTTAACCCTTGTTTGTTTCCCATTTTTTACCATTAAAATGAAAAATATGATCGTTATCCATCACATCAAATCACCAAATTTGAATTTCTATCTTTTGTGTGGGGTCCATAACGACTATATTTTTCATTCTTATTTTTACAAAAATGGGAAACAAA